TTGAAAAGTAGCATGAGAACTGGTTACATGCATGCATCAGTAATGTGACATTTTGAAATGCACGAAAATTGAAATACGTATAACCAGAAGAACGAAAAGTATCGGAAACTACTGCCAGGCACTTTGGTCAATCAGACTCGTCTATCTTGACATCGCCATTTATCCGGTTCTCATCTCTTATGAGCGCAATGACATATACTTACAAACATAACTTTTATCATAATATATCGATGTTGAGCCCCTGGTTTCAATGGATATTTAAAATATAGTAAATGCATGGTTTTTATTACAGCATGTAAGTGATCACGATTATTACTTTTTTGGAGCAAAAGGTTTTTTTTTTTAAAAAAAAACTTTATAACATTTGAGGCCTTTTGCCTAAAAATATATTCACGAATAATATCGAGGAAAACTAGTGGAAATACTAGAATTGTTTTGCAATAATGGTAGCCGAGTGTTAAGTTACTATAATAAAAAGAGAAGAGAAGAAAATAGTTTTTAAATATAGTACTGCGTTTGACTTAAAGTCTCATTTCGAGGAACTTTTGAAAGAAGTTGTTACAATAACCGACTTGGCTTGTTTCTGAAAAAGAAACGACAGTCTTCAAATATCGATATACCGTAATAATACTTGGCGGGGGGGAGGGGGGGGGGCGACAGAAGGGGGGCAAGTTCCAATATAAGCCTCAATATAACGGACAATTGAAATAGTTTCATTCCATCTCCCATTCTTAAAAATATTTACTTCAGTTGAAGTACTACGAAAATGATCTTTTGATGAACACATCGAATTCCCGTATAATTCTAAAAGGGTTTTTATTCTCCCCTTGAGGTGTTTTATAAATTTATTATCTGGCATGGCTATTAATATATCTCTACAAATTTCTTTTAACTAAACTGAAGTTAGCAGAAAATCTTGGGAACTTAAAATAGAAAATATCTGCATGAGTTTCCCTTTTACAGATAGTCAGTGCAAACGCGGCGGCAGGTGGTACGCATCGTCTTTTCGTAATGCACAAACACGGGAAGTGTTAGTATACTCCAGTCAATAGACCTTGTCACGGTTTTCGACGCCATCTTGCCGAGTAGGCAAACGCGTGAGAAATTGCAGTGATTGTATGAGAATCTAATGTCGAATAATTTCCGTAGAACGGCTGTTCTGAAAAAAAATATATGAATTGTAAACTGAAGCTACACTCCTAAGGATGCTGAAAAGGGGCGTTAAATGCGCTAGAAGACCTAGAACCACTTTTTAAAATTTTCTATACATTTGTCTATAAGAAATTCCCGGGAAAAATTACAGACAAATATATGGAAAATCTAAAGCAAGCCTCTGGATAAATTTAAGCACAGTTACGCCCCAAAAATGTTTAAGTACAATCCTTCGCTTTGTAGCTTTAGTTTACAATTGATATTTTTTTCAGAAAAATCGTTTTACGGAAATTATTCGACATTAGATTCTCATACAAACACTGTAATTTCTCACGCGTTTGCCTACTCGTCAACATGGCGTCGAAAACCGTGACAAGGTCTATTATAACTAAAGCAAGACTTGGCGTAAATTACAACTCTTTTTTTGATCAAACTTCAAACGATATCAGTCTTACCATTATTTGATATTTTAAGTTTCCTTGAGTTCAACATTGAATCTGATAAAGCATCAAGTTCAATCATCAACCGCGATTTAGAATCGGATTGAAAAGTTATGGTTCAGTTGACGGTTTCATTTCGCTACTTAACATATTGTTTTGATCCGAATCGATGGAAGCTTTTCTTAATCGATGGAATAGACATTTCACATTTTATACTTTTCGGTTAAAAATCACGGTCCTTTCACCAAAAAGGCTTGCTGCCATAGTCTTCTTTTCGATTTTTTTAAAAACTTTTAAAAAACTGGAAATTACTGCACATTCTCGGGGTCTAAACTTGATATATTGTAGTCAGTTAATCCGTTGATACATATGTCTTCTTCTTACAGTCACTGAAACACTGCAACATTATGATGTGGTAGTAGCAGTCAAATGTATTTCTTGAGAATGAATCAAAAGCTTTTTTAAAATTCATATTTGACCTTGAAATTCTTTCCCTTTTAAATTCATCCTGAATTATAAGGTTTTGTTGCAGTCTTAATTTAATTTCTCAGTTCCCGAAGATTTTTGCCACCTTGTACTTAAACAATTTTAAAGAAGGCTCAGCCACAAAAAAGGGTAAGTTAAGACTGATTCCTGCCTAGGACCGAATAATTTGAATAAAATCATGATCAATCACATTAGGGCTTCATTTTGCAAATTTTATTTTGTAATGTATAAAATACATCTTCCTGCTTTCAATATATTTATTAAAATCTTACTTACCCGAACGAGGCAAATCAGATGTTGAGTTGACAAGAGCCCCTTGTCGCTCTCTCACTAACAGTCAGGTCCTCCTCAACTTTAGGCGTCCGTGAAAATAAAATAATATTTTGCCACTGATCCGTTGCATCTATGCGGCCACAAATATTATTTATTCTAAAACTCAAAAACCTTAGCCTCATACTTAAGTCAGTAAACATTAGGCTTATGAATAAACACTGCGTTGCAATCAAAATTTAATAATCTCAATATCCATGAAGTCGGTACACGTTAAACCAAAGATAATTTTGTTTTTTTTTATCCCTGTTTCTTACTATTAATCTTTCTCGTTCCATGACCGTAGGAAAACACCCAAAACGGGACTGTTTACACTTGAATACTTCCTATTTTCTGAAAAACCGATACGTCAATGTCAAACAAGACCCCAAAATATCCAACTCGCTTATGGGTACTTAATTAAATAATTTCCAATCAGAATAACTTCTATATGATGTATAGGCTTTTATGGAGGGCCAGTTTTGTAGATGACAACTGCGGATCACATCGCGAAAAAAAAGCAAATTCTATTATTTTAGTATCTCACCGGAGTGGTGCATGTTACCCGTTTAAATAATTATATAAATTCTCAATTTCTTTTAGATTTTATTTCAATGGTATTTTTGCCGACAAGCAGATACCTTGAAAGAAAATACTGCATTGTTTTCAAGAACATGAAGGATAATGCAATAAAGGCAAGCCGATATTTCATGGCCAAAATTAAACCTATTGTTTGATTGTTTCGCAGTTAATAACCAACATGTTGACTGATCTTCTTTTTGCCCGCAGAGAAAGCAAATGTTCGATTACTTTAACTATTCTGTTTGTCGTTGTCATTCGACTCCGGACACGAGGTATTATTTGTTTTCTTTGCCCAGGGAAAACAAGCGAATTAATTATATCAAATTGTTTATTGCTATTTATTATAGTTAGTTGATATGAATTATAAATAAATGAATAGCTTAAATGCACAATTTGATCTTGGCAGGCTGTACCTTTTAGGACTACTTTGCAGCTCTGGAAAGTACCTCTACAAGACTACCGACCGTTTAAGGTTACAGAGCTAAATTAAATTTTTAACCGTGAGCATGTTCCATTTTGTTTGCTGCAAACAAGGAATTTTTTTTCTCATGCCATAGATAATGGAAAAATATTATATGTAGTCCAAGAAATGAGAAAAGTTTTGTTTCATTAAAACATATTAAATTTCGTCAAGCCAAAAAGCGCAGCTCCAGCATAAGACTGTCCCGTTTACAAGAAACAATTAACTTTTTACCATCGAATAGAAAAATAACAACAGCAACAACGACAAACAAACAAACACATTTGAATAACCGATCTATTGATTAATTTAATTTTTTAAGATATAGGGCCCCTATAGAGACCAGCGTTAGAGCTGAATGGGTTACGCTGTAAATAAAGTTTTACTTCACTTTACTCTACTTTATATAGAGCTTTACTTTCACACGCGAAAAATGCTTACTTTATAGCACTCCAAATAGACCCTTCCAGGTTTTTTTTTTTAACTTTTTATGAAATGGGACAGTTACGAAGATACGAGAATCTACGGCTGTTTGTATGGTGGTGGGTTGGGGAGGGGGGGGGGGGAAAGTTTGTCCCCCTCCACCATACAAACGTTCTTAAAACTCGGGGACTTTAAGGAGCTTTACCTTCGTTAGTTTTCACCCAATAATTTTCAAACTTGGCAACCTTACCATTTTAAGGCGGATCTTTCCAGTTGCGTAGCAAGTTTTTCCCTACCTTATCTTTTACATCGGTAAAATTTTTTTTTTGATATATCTCGAATTAACCTTTTGTGGGTTTTTTTTTTTATTTTTTTTTAAAATGGGACAGTTACAAAAATAAGAGAATAAACGGTTGTTTGTTTGGGGGTGGTGTGGGGAGGGGGGGGGGGGGCAAGTTTGTACCCCTCCACCATACAAACGTCTGTAAAACTCTGCGACTTTAAGGAGCTATACCTTCGTTAGTTTTCAACACATAATTTTCAAACTTGGCAACTTTACTAATTTTAGGGCGCTCATTCCAGTGGCATCGAAGGATTTTCCCTAACTTGTCCATGCACGTCAAAAGTTGAAAAAAAAGTCTTGGAAAGGTCTATGATAACTGAGGTTGTACATGTAAGTTTGAATTATGCCATAAACCACCAAAGCTAATCCGTTCCCAGTTGAAAATGCCACCTAGTTAAAGTCAACTATGGAGTTTGAAAAAAAAGTACGGCTCAAATTAACCATTATCTTTTAGAGTTAAAGATGTCATTACCGCGACTGCACGAGAACACCAGAAACTCCAGAAAACTAGAACTTCCTGCTCGCGCATATTTTGCCAAAAATTTTCCTTGCCGTCTTATTGCATTACTATGACGTCAAACTTCCTAAGTTCTTCTTTTTCTTCTGGACGTGGTTAAGTTCCTTAGGAATTCACTGACTCCAGAAGAATTAAGATACAACTGCCTGAGCGATTTTAAGTGACTTGCGATGAAGTTTGCTAAACGCGAACACACCCTTTGCGTAAATTATGTTTACGCTGCTGTCGCACCCGAGGTAGTATCTTCACTAACCGTCCCCATTTACAATTGTAGGCCTTGCCCATAAATTAAATGAAGTTTCCTCTTGCGCCACGACAACGTAAGAGGCGAAGAAAACCAGAGCGAAACTCTCCATTCATCCCTGCATACAGAACGGGGTTAACGGAACTGTTAAGATATACCATGGTACTACCTAGAGTAAGAAGTTCTTTGAGATAACGTGATCTTTGTCCTGATCCAAACTCGATCCATAGCCAAACAATTTGATTGGGCAACATACATATTGCGTAGAGAAGAACCACTGCTACGAGCATCTTGACAATTTTAGTATTTCGTTCCAGTCGCTGCATCATTTTACGAGGAGCAGCTGCGGGGCTTCGAGGTGAGAAGGTTAGCCGAGCTTGACTTGGCACGATGGTCGATTTTCTTTCAATATCTGGTGATTCTGATACCGAGGGAAAATCACTGGGTAACTCCGGAGCCAGAAGAGAACTCGAAGGAACTGTGAGTGTTGAGGGGTTTTTCGAGACGTCAGCCTTTCTAGCAAAGCGCAAAGCCTGATTTCGCAACTTCAAAACGACTTTACTGTAGGCAAGGGCAATAATTGTCATAGGGATGATAAATTGAGTTATAAAGAGTCCCAGAGTGTAGGCAGCTCTAGCTGCATCGCTGGGCCACACTTCTTGGCAGTAGCCGTTTTTCATCTCCAGCACAAGGAGATAAGGGATCACCAGAACAAAGGACACAGACCAAGTAATGCCGATGATAATTGCTGTTTGCTGTGCAGTGAATCGAGGCTTCCAGGGATACACAACTGCTCGGTATCTAAGAAAAGACAGAAAAAAAGACTAACTATAATTTAATATTTGCCTTGGTAGGCCAAAACAGCTATATTTGAGTTAATCTGAAATATTAGAAAGCCAATTCTCGTATTTACTCGAACAAGCACTGCGGCGCTTATTTAATTTTTCGTGCTTCCGGTGCGGCGCTTATTCTAGGGCGGCGCTCTGATTAACTTTTCCACTGCATGTGCGGCGCTTATCGGGGCGGCGCTTATTCGAGTAAACACGGTACATACTAAAATGTGAGTGCTTCTCGTCTCAGTCTTTGAGTGGATCGTTTGGCAGCCCCATGTGCAGCACACTTTTGGGATTAAAATGTTTCAGAGGCCTTATTGAGCGGATACGCAAACTCTGTCATTGTAATCACCAACCGAAACCTTGAATGTGTTGAAAGGGAGTTATAGTTGGGTTACGTTATTTAAAATCGAGAGTTCGCGAGAGTTTTAGCAAAATTGACTTTAACCTTAATTACTAGTAAGTAAAAGTAAGTAAAGTATATCTTGTAAAATGTTTTATAATATTTATTGTTAAAAGTCTATTTTTGATAACCTTATGCCATTTTTCGTAATTCTTGTGTTAGTGTAACCATAGCATAGTCAGCAAGTTAAGTTTATACAAATATATAAACATATCTACTAAAAACACGAGATTCTTGTAGAATATCACGTTGAAAAACTGAATTGCCTTGCCTCTTCTTGATTTAACCTTAAAAAATTTGTTACCAAGAGGAACCGGTGGACGATGAAATCATAATGGAAAATATGTGTGATGTATAAATGTCTTTATCACCTGTCATAACTGATGGCTACAAGTGTAACTGATGAACACGTGGTTACTGACGTCATAGTGGGCCAAAGTAACTTGCACATAACAGGACCTAGGAGCCAGCGGGGTGATGTCAGTTTGATAACAACTTCAAACGGTATGCAAAGCAGAGCTACAGTCAAGTCAGCAACGGCGAGGTTCACCAGCAGATAGTTGCGGGTAGTACGCATGCGCGGAGTCCGTGCAATGACTAGACACACAAGAGTGTTTCCAAAGACGCTGACGACAAATATTGCCGCAAAAATGGTGTACTGTAAAGTTACAAGCCATTCACTGGATGCGCCACCTTCATCCTTCCCGGCATACGTGTTGGGACTTGACGTTGTCAAGTTGGAAACGAACGTGGTGCGATTCATGACTTCAGAGTTTTTAAGTGTAGGCTAAGCGTCAAAGCAATATCTGGCCCTCTTAAAAATATCGTGTCGTGTCTTTGTCAGATGCTTTGGACAGGCAATCCTTCTACTGCACTTTAACTACTCTGAAAATACACAAAGGGACCATGATAAAAAGGTTGATAAATTGCAGAATATAAAATTTTATAGCCTAGCTAGTATATGATTTTTAAACCTACCGATTGAAAAGCCTTACTCAGTTTTTTAAATATCATTAAATGGGCTTGCAATTACTTGAGGAAAATATTGTAAAAGCTTTTTTCAGTTCTGCTCTTAGAGTGGTAAATAAGATAGTAAAAAGCCTGCCTTTCACGTCATACTAAATCTACGCGATCAGGTCGAAAAGCTGCTGAATTGAATTCTTCAATATTCAGATACCTGATTTGAACTCGTACACTGTTGCTGTCGAACACGGGTATACGGAAGGTAGGGAGCCATGTTCATCTTACACAAACCCTTTTTGAAACTTTCCTTTGCTCTCAATTCCGTGAGTGAGGTTTTTTACACCTGTTGTTAAAAGCTTCATAGATTCATCATTTTTTCTATTTAAATGGTAATAACATACAAGCACTGAGCGCTTTTTTATGTTTCCGCCCTGTATGTTCATGCATGCTATGAGAAGTGATTCCGAACATTACTGTATATTATTTCATTTCTAGGCCAAACTTGATTTTTTTACCGCCTACTGTCAATGTGAGGACGACAGGTTTATCACACTCAAAAGATCTATCTTATCTTTCAACGCGCTAATGGCCCATTCAGGCTATTAAAACATTGCTTTAAGGGAAATGCGTAGGATTAAATAAATGTCTTTTTTTTCCCCGACAGTAAAACAAGCGATTGTGTTTCAGTCTTGTCCTTTCAACGATTCTCTGCAGTGAATCGTTTCGCAAAGGTATTATATTAAATTAAACATTCACGCTAAAGAAAAAAGGAAAAAGAAAAGAAAAAAACAAAACAGTGGGGTAACTTAAATATGATGCGCTCATCACGATCGGTTACTCGCGATCGGTCTTTTCAAAGGCTTGTCAACACTTCTTTACCAGCAGTCGATGCTGTACTTAACAGTCATCAGAGTCGTTAGAAGTTCGAATGCTGTTTTGGCTAGTTTGAAGGGGAAGGGATTCAGATTAGCAATAGCCGGCACCTTGGCTCTGATCAAAAGCATATTAACTGCAAGACTTCTGTTACAGCCTGCTGTAAAATTGTCCTTCGCATTGCATGTGTTCGCCGGTATTATTTGATGTAAAAAAGATGGACATCGCCGAGATGAGGCATCTTCTATTAAAAAAAATTAACCACCATGTCCTTCAGTGTTCGACGTAATGTTTATACTGTTTTGCTCTTAACCAAACCGCACATGCAACTTCAAGAAATGCCTTACGCCCGAATTAGGGTGTTAAATTTTCAAGACAAGCTGAAAAAATGATTGTACTTTGTATTTTTTGACACCGTACCCATATGAGCTCAATCTGACCAGTTGGCTACGGTTTTTAAAAATATCTAATAAATTTGTCAGCACTTAACTAGAGAATTTCTGATTTAGGTTCTTGAATATTTATGAATAGATTTACAGTTGCAGTAGTATAAGATAACGTGACGATTAATTGGTCGGGACATAGATTTTTTTAAACGAACAGCAATGACTGACGGAAGAGTGATACTTCATTCGGCTTGAAATAGATCCCAATAATTAGAAAATGTTTTTTGAATGATATATGATTTTTAGTCATGTTTACTGTGTTTTAAAGGCGTTTTATACATGTACCTGATTGAAAATTTGACAGTGAATGTACGCAGCAGTAGTGTTTTTCAATTCATATCAAGCAACAGGGATATATATCGCGAGGCCAGAAAGAAGATATAATTCCCTTAAACTAGTTTGCTTCCACTTCCGTGGTCATTCATCAAGGAGTAAAAAGCAGCTCTAACGTTGGCAGATGAGACCGGCAAACTCACCAACATAAGACAACATATAAATGACATGTCAGGTATATCATAGCCAACAGCAGGTAATTTCCATATCACCGTTGTGTGGGTGTTGACACTCGTCCGAAATGAGTCAAAGCACTTGTGACTGTAATGTTCTACCTTCTTAAAAGCAACTTTCAGTTGACAAATATGTGCGACATATATTGAAATGACAGATATTAAAATGAAGGTAGACGAGAATAGAATGTATAAGAAACAATGAATATTTGTACGAGGGTCTCACGGAATAATGTGGTTCTCAGTCAGTGAGAGATGTAGGTGTGATCGATTTCTCCCAATAGGGTTAGAACCTGTGACCTTGTGTCCCCGGCAGTTCGAAAGCTCCGCTGGATAAATCGTCATGGAGTGGATACCATTGAACCTCTCCACAATGGCCACCTTGGTGACAGTGGAAATTGTCTGTTATGGAACCGGAGATTGGCCGTTACGGGGAGGTAGGGGTTTAATATGACACCTCTTCTTTTATATTCTCGGGAGTACAGCATGTTCATTGTGCCACGTTCACCCTTACTGCAGCCTATGATAATAATCTAATCATAAATAAAAAATATGGACAAGATGTTGACAAGACAAAACGAGAAAGGTTCGCTACATTCGCTGTAAGTATTATAGGCAATTTATGTCGATTGCAGCAAACAAATGGAACACAATCAAAATACGACATCATAAAAATAGCTACAGAAACTTAGTGTTTTGAATACAAATGTCGATTACTGAACCAGTTTGTAAAACATTCGCGTTTAAAATTCCAGGTATTTCACTTTTTTTTTTTTCCAAGTGAAATAAAGTTGTCAAGGGTTGTGCGCTTTAGCGAGATCAGTCACGCGTTTTGCTAAGCACAGTGGTAACTTAACTTGTATCATGGATTAGTTGATTGGAACGAACATTCTTGACTTTTTTCATCACTTGCTGAAAAAACGTAGTCGAGAGGTTATTTTTAATAAGTAGTTTGGGACACGCTTTAGTCGGGACGTTGCCGTTGTAGAGAGAGTTCAACAAGAACAAGAGTGAATAACGGAACATTATTCTCTGTTGACAAGAGTCAATGTATGGACTGTACGCCGGGACAAAAATAGTAAGAGTGGTTCGCTTGTGGAGGTTCGACTGAAAATGTAAGGACGATATCTGATTGGTCACGGGTCAGTATTTAATTATTTCAACTGATCGAAAAAAAGACAAAACAAAACAAGAAACACGACGGTCTATTTAAGGCTGTAAAGATGTACTTGCACTTTTATATTCTGTACTCTTGTTTGAAAATTCTTGCAATTTAGTAAAGGTTTATCATTTAGGCTTTTGCCTAAAAAAACTCCTACTTGTTGTTCAATATGATCTTAATTGATCTTCTCCCCCACTTTTAATCTTTTGACAGACAATTATTCTTACCTTTTGTAGTTTACATTGCAGGCAACTGACCTTCGATTTTCAAAGGTTTAAAATACACTTTTTTGAAAAATGATATACAGCAGTTTCTGATGAAGGTATTAAAAGATATTTAAAGTGTTAATTCGTGTTGTTTCATAGTAAGTTCATTTTCAAAATGTATACACTTAGGAACTAACCAAATTTTTGGCCATTTCAGATAATTTTATAATTCAAATCTGCTGAATTTTGTTGCTCTTTTAGCATTAAGAAGAAAAATAAAGAAAAGAATGAAAATTACATTGAAAAGATGTAGGTTGAAGAAGTGATTCCACTTTAGAAACTGATGAAAATGAATCACAAAGATCAGGACTGCGACGTCCTTAGTGTATAGTTTCAACTATATTTTCAGATCTCATTATATCTATCGGGAGCCAAAAGAAAACAGCAAAGGGGATTAATTTGCGCTGAAATTATTTGGGCCAGAAATACTGCCATCTGAACCAATGAGCGTTAAAGGAGTCAGATTGAACAATAATGAAATTGGTATGAATAGAGATACACAATTGACAAGCAAGAAAAAAATCGGTTCATTTTCGTTTTGTTTAAACCATAAAATCAGGAAAGTCCCATAAAAAATATTAATAATCCCGCTTCTATTAGGGACAAAATTCTAAATTAATCTGTAAACTTGAATAATCGGAGGGGGTTTTAAGAATTGTTAGCCGAGTCACTTGGTCTGCCATGTTTACTTTTGCATAAGGAAACCCCACAAGAAAAATAATTCATGATTAGCTATGCCATTTTACTAGATTTCAAAGAGAACAGAATATGATTTTGTGCTAGGGAAAGCCAAATTTCATGAGGAACTTTAAACTATAGCTCTAGCCCGGGTAACTTTTCAATGCTTAAAAATTAAATTATCACAGTAACAAACCTGAACAACGAAGGAACGCTTGCAAGGTTTGAAAAAGAATCTTTGCCACACAGAGTCTGTGAGAGTCTGTCACTGCAGTCGAGTCGCTGGTAGTATGGCACGAATTTTTTTCAACATATATCAGGCAAAACATGAACAGGCAAACACACACTTTTCTTCGCTTTAAGTTGCGTTAAGAACTCATTTTGACCTTTTGATTTTGCCGCAACCTTTTCACAGTTCTAAGTTAATTTTCGATTGAAAAGGGTAACGACAGTGCAAGAGAGAGAGATTACTCACCAACAATTGTTAAATCCTATCCAAACATTTATATTCCTTAAACGACCTTACCATAGACAGAACCGTCTACAGTTTGTGGTAAATAAGGCACCGTGCATCTTTGAAAGCCTCAAAGAAAAAATCCTTATGCACTGACAATCAAGCTCGTGTTGGAACGGTTAATGAGATACTTTATGCAAATTCAGCAGTTTATAACTTCAGTCATTTAACATGTTTGAAATATGAAAAAAAAACTTCCTTTTTTTATTAATGACTCAGCTTTTTACCTCCAAGGATCTCAAAAGAATATCAGCTGTCTCGTTTTTCTACAGTATGTCAAGTAAATTCGACAGAAGCCACGTCTGTTCCGGAGGAAGATATTTAGTAGCTGCCATTTAATATTAAGATCGTGTTCTCGGAAGGTATTATGTTATTTAAATGAAAAAACTGGAGTGACAAAAGATTGCCAATTTGTGTTCTTTTAATTAGTATTCTTTGTCTTTCGTTTTTGTTCTCCTAAAGTCCAATATTAAAAGTAAATTGATGTTTGCCGACCTAGGGTAAACACATCAAGTCGATGTGAGAAATGTGAAAACTACGAACATTAAAAAGACGGCGTTTTTGATTTCCCTGTTTAGGAATATTTTCTGCAGCTTTTCCTCGAAAAAGAAAATACTTGTGTCTGGCCAGTGGAATACACAACTAATCTGCACAAACGAACACTAAAACGATAAAAATACGGATGAAATAGTTTAAATATGATAATCTTTGAAAGACGAATAGTCATGGTGTCTTAGGTCTTACATAAAACCAATCCATCTTGATTTTTTTAAGGATACATAATCCACCTTTTTCGATGAAGCGAATTTTTTACCCGTGCTTTATTTGTGTCACTAAGAAAATCATTTCATATCCAAGGCAATGATCACCATTTTTAACACTAAACTGAACGGTCTTTCTAAGATAGCATTAGGCCGTGCCTTTAGCTGCTTTTAACTGTGTGATATTGTATTAGACGCCGTTTTAAATGCAAAATATCGCCTATGCCCAACTTACACTTCATTTCTCACGCATCTACAAAATTTACCTCCATCCTGTCTAATCACTCCAGGCAGGTTTTGCTCGCAATTCAATGCGTCGTCATTGGCGTTTTTAGCCATAAAACACATCCTAAACCGTTTTAAAAAATGAAATTAATCTTCCTTGTTATACCTGACTAATTACGGACCACGCCGATTATTCTGCTTATCATAGCTGGAAACATGTATATTTTGATTTTTAAAAATCCAACGCAAGATTTGTATCAAAACAGAACATTGCTAAAATTCAGAAATACATTATTTCTTTCGGTATATATTGGCACACTTCATTCATGCATCAAAACCTACTGATATTTTGAAACAGTTTGTCAATATGAAAAATATGAGTTGGTAGATCAACCTTAAATGTCACTGACGATAAAAGTTAGGGTTTTTAGCTAGACATATCAGTGTATAGTTTTTTTGCGAATGACGGTGTCACGTATCCATTTAAGAAATATTGTTTTCGAGTAATTGTTTCAAGTAGACCATTTCCTGGGTTAAGTGAACCTACAATGGAAAGTCCTCTTACTGATTGTCTTTACCTTAAACTGTAAATTTGACTACAATAATTTACATTCGAGACGTCGGTGTGCACGGGGTAGTATACTGCTACTATTACAATTACAATTCAAAATCCAATATGTAGTAGGAATAGTGCCCCGGAACACTGACCTCAGTCAAAAACAGCTGTTTTATTGGACTAAAATTCAATAAACTGTGCAATTCAAATGCTTTAATTGTGGTCAAAAATTCCTCCTAAAGTTTACAAAACTGCGGCTTCCTCTGAGGCTACAAACCGCTTTAATCATGAGAAAGAGGTAAAAGGTCGTCTTATTTTTCTTATGACTGCGCTGGTGAACAATTCGAGCAGCTGTTGCGTCACTATGACCACACTGACGCACGCTTCTTGCATTTTGGTAATTCTTGAGAAGCCAGTAAGAGAAAAAAATCTAAGCATCCTTTCATATTTGTAAAAAGAACGGAAACCTACTGCGTCAGTAGCTGAAGTTTGAACGTGGTGGTAAAGCGCGCAACATTTTTTTCGACCAGGAGAGGATAATTTTCAACTCATTAATGTTGAAAACCGAGTTGCCTTATTGCCCGTAAGACAAATTCAAAGCAAGGGGCACACATACACCAACCCATCCGTTTATCTTATTGCCTGTAGCCTGTTCCCGCTAGACTCGCAGATAGTGGGGGTCGAGCGTTAGGGAAAAGCACGCGTAAATATGAGAGCGTAATCTGGCCCTGTTTGCGCTTTCTCAATTTTATGGACCCGACTATCTCGGAGCCTGGAACACGCTGTGTTGCCTGTTGTTCCATAGCTTTCAACCAACAGAACGTTTTCACATGACGTCACGTTTGCCATTCACCGTTTTCACAAAGACCATAATGCACCTTGCTTATCCTCTCACCCCCTCCCCCCCCCCCCCCCCCCCCCCCCCCCACTACATGAGTGTTTCTGGCTCCGCTTTCAACCAAACGTCTGGTGTCCCTAGAGCGCAACTTTTCCATTTCCTCTTTCCCCCAAAAACATTAGCACCCCTTCTCATCCCCCCCCCCCCTCCCCCCCCCCCCCACCCCCCCCCCCAAAAAAAAAAAAAAATGGTTAACCATTGTCTTTTCCATTTCTTTTGGGACGACTGTAATATCCAGGAGAAATTGGAAACAATGGTTACGCAAAATGTTGGGGTAAGCAAGGTGCATTATGGTCTATGTGAAAATGACCATGAATATTGGTGTCACAAAACAATGAAACGGCGGCCATGTTGACGTCGCACGCCAACCCTTATGTAAAAACGTTCTTTTGTTCCAATAAATTGGCATAGCTACTGGCCACGTGAAAGGCTCTATTGCTTTTTTTAATGTTACGTCTCTTTATTACACGACTAAATACAACTTCTGCAATTTTATAATACATGCCGAGCCTCGTAATAAATAATAACTAACTATATACAAATAAGAAATTTTGTAAATGTCTCGGACAGTAGAGGTTTAGGAAAGACAGGTCCATTGTTAGACGATTCGGACCCATGATTGAACAGTGGTTCTCCAGACAGCAACATTATCCTTTGAAGTCTACTAAGTATGTTCATTGTCCAGCCGCGAATACTTCTCAAATCTGGCACGAACCAGGACATTCCAGCGTGCAATTGCCATATGCCATACTGCAATCAATACAACTGCTGATTGGCTGACATTGCGACATGCAGGCTTTCCATTGAGAATGACAGCAGCTGACACACACGGCGGTACTGTCGAGATTGGGCCTTGGGATGGCTTGAACAGCAACCATGCTGGCTGTAAACACCATTACGACTAGTGAAACTACGGTGATATCTGTCTTTGCGGCCTGGAGAAAACAATAAATTGGTTCATAAGTTCGTCCGCCGGTTCATTTTCCTTACGTCTTCAAGAATCAGAGACCGGCTATGTTTTGTTACTTACAATCGCGTAAGCTAAGGATAGCAATAATTCAAGCATATCCTTTTTACCCGCGGATAACGAACCGGCTACTTGAGACCGTTTTGGCCAGATCGAGGTTTAATTAGTTAACCCTCGGACGTACAAGCAAATTCATACCACCACCGTGGTACAGGAGGGTAGATGGATGGAACCCCTCCCCGGAGTTTTTGATATGTTGGAGTATTTTAAAACGATTTTGCCTTTAGTGGAAAGCCTTTGATCTTCTTAACAAGATGAGGTATATTTTATGACTGGTGGAGCTGCTTGAGGCCTGTGACGTCACCAGCAATGGTCGTCATCTTGGCCGCCATCTTGGATTTTAACAAGAATTGGAAATGTCAGGTTAAAACCGCGAGAAATGGTAATTTTTTATGCTTTACATGAAAAATAACACATAAATAAACACTTTGCAAGATTTTAGCCACAAGATTTACTTTTATTGTTGAAAGAAGTTGAAAAAACATGTATTTTCACCAAAAATTTGCTTGACCACCTCATTTTATGACGTCATATCTCGTAACTATAGTAACTTACCATCACTAAACTCTTCTCAAAATCTGCGAGAGGGATGAACGAACAGCTACTGAGATCGTCAGTTGCGGATGTTCTATCCTCTAGGAAAAAACTCAAAAAAACCTTATGGGGGGCCGGGGGGATTCTTGTACGTCCGAGGTTAATCCGCCCGTCTCTGAAAAGTCACCTAGTAAAGAATGCGATTACGGCTCGATCTTCAATTCGTTACTAGTGATTTTAAGATTCTCTTGGACTTTAGCCCCATTCAGCAACTACAGGGTGGTACAGTCAGAGAGGCTCGATCAATTAGTACTAGTTTATAGTCGGTCTTTTGTAGCTTTAATCGGTTCGAATTTAATTAAGCCGGCTAAAAATGCATGTTACATATAGATGCATAATCGTCAATAAGTGGTAAGATAATAAGATATATCCACCACAATTTCCTCATAAAAACAAGTTGAGAAAGTTATCAAAATCTGTCCAAGTTTTACTGAAGATAAATAAAGACTTTTTATGTTGTTATCGTTGGATAGTTCCGTCCAAAATGCAGTTTATAATCAACTTCAACAATGCATGCAAAAATTAAGGGTATAAGCGCCTTAAGAGAAGCACAAGAAATTCTTACCATGATTGTTCCTGGTTAGTGTTGTTACTGCAGATTCTAGCCTTTCACCTCTTGCTGCTCAATGCAGATTTTCTGATCTGTTAGCAACTAGGTTACAGACGTTGGCTTTTATACATTTCACTGAAGTTGGCAAGGTGTGGGCCCGAGTACGTAATTATGATAACCTTTTGCAATTTCGGCGCCATATTTAGGCTTTTCCGGAAGCCAATTCAAGAAGCATTTTTTTGTGTTTCCTTAAATTATGCCATAGCTATGTAGAATTAATGCCGGCGCCCTTCCATCTGTAAACCAAAACAAATACTCAAAGTCAGACCACTTCCCGAAAAATCCTTTCGGAAGAATAATTCCATCAGTTTCTCTTCAAAAACAAAATTATTTTTTAATTTCTGTGCCGTCCTTTCGTTTTATTGCCTCTTATTAAAGGAAATATTAAAGAAAACCTGGACTGCGGAAAATATTTTGATATCTTTGCCTACGTAGAACACTTGATTCAACAACCCACGAGTAGTTGATCAGTGGGTGAAATATTTCAGCAACAAATAAACATACTCTATTGAGGTTTCGTTGTTGTCTCACGTCAGTATTTTTTGCACTTTTTCTTGCTAACGTACTAAAAATTTCATAAATCTCGATTTCGCAAGATGCTGCATTATGTGAAAAGAAATCGAAAAGGAGAAATAGGCCACAAATATCAGACCTTTCGCATCGCACATGTTTTTTGGCAAAAGAATTTCACATATTATTTTCAATTAATTTGTGACATGTATTTGACCTTCTGTCATCGATATGGTTAGTTCTTACGTGAAACGCCGTTAGCAACGAATCCTATAAGCTACAACATAATCCAGTTGCAACAAAATATTTTGATTCATGCGGTCCGTAACCAGGTGCATTTGTTTAATAAATTCTTTGCTTATAAGCTCTACGGAAACGGTATATTAAGATTTGCGGAAAAGGGAGTAATAGATTCCTCGGCAAGAATTTCATAATTATTTTTGAATCCAAAATCAAAGTGGCTGACCTGCAATGGAACGACGCAAAGAAGTGATCTGTTGGCAGTATGTCTACAGGAAAAAATTGATCCCTAAGGGGGAAAAGACGACTGCATTTGAGATGGAACGTTTACCCCAGGCGCCACGGCTACCTTAAAATAACAAAAACTTCGTACAGACCACGTATTAAGTAAACATAACGGTGCTAATTTTTTTGATGAGAAAGAAGTGCAATGGAGTTTCCCGTAGCCTGCGAAAACATCCGTTTCTCCTCGCTCTTCGTAGTCGTTCTCGTCCTAGAATCTAGTTAGGTCTCTAATTATTCCCTCTTTGATCCAGAAACACAGGCTGCAAGATCAGGAGATCAAGAAATCACCACGTGTGTCGCTTGATAATTTCTATGGTTGGCAATGATTCACTCCTTCTCAAAGAATGAATTGAAATCAGTAGTTGTATTGTCAAATAAAACAGAGGAAAATCCTGAACCTTTAGAGAAGACACACAGTTATAAGAAAGTCCGGCGACATAATGTTTAAGGGCTAACAAAAGTCCTCCGCCACTGCCAAACATTACAAGAACATGCATGGGACGGTCTTAGGACCTGCTAAAACGTCTCGAAGTGCTTAAGAAATGCAGGAACAAATTTGACTGTTTAGGTGCGAAATGCTTTTCATAAGAACCTTAAAGACAAATTTCAACGTGCTATCAGACTCTATTCGTGCGAAAGAATAATCTTCGCACCCTGTTATGTTAATTTTCGCGTCACATCGCTTTGCATGATTAAAAAAAAATTCCTTGATAATGGAGTCATGACTACTCTGAAACGTCGGATTTTATCGTTCGTTTTTACCGTTTTATGTCTTAAAGCATTGAATTCCTATTATTCTTTCTCTATTGAAATGATCATGAGAGTGGCCGAGTGTTAAACACGTCTGTACTTTAGAGGAGTTCGTGTACAACCAATAGTTAGCTCAGTTGCTCCCTTGTCACGATTCCATTTCCCATCTTAGGCGATCAAACAGACAACCTCGTAAAACGCACATTGGTTCCTATCTACTAAATTTTGACTAACCAGCTTTCAATCCTAACAAAAAAAACGAAATAATAAAAACAAAACAAAAAAGAACCAAAATACAAAAACCAAAAAGCTGAGGAAAGTAAACGTTTATTATGCTTTACGTTTAAATTCATTTCATAGTTTAAGACCTTACTGCTTTTGGTGCTCTTTCTTATCGTTCTTACTCATTTTTGCTCAGATTGACCAGATCTTCTGCTCACATACACTGTTTACAGGTAGCCTTTACGACACCTGAGGGAGGATCATCTATATCAAGATAATAACCCATCCAGCCCGGGAAAGGTTGGCCGTACCCACCGGGGTCTACGTCCACTACTCTTTTTGAACAGAGGTGTTGGTTCTTTTACGTCCCACAAACCAGATAAGTGAAAGTTCTGTGAGACAGGACCTACGGTTTTTCGTTTTCGTGCTTATCAGAGGAGACTAGAAAGTCTAAGCGTTTGCAGATGTCATTACAAAGGCAGAACCTGGGTGTTGGTCCGGCCGGGGTTTGAATTCGTGACCTCTCGCTCAGCAGACCGCTCAGCATATCGGCGCTCTCCTAACTGAGCTAACCAGTGCTCTTCATTAGAAACTCATTGTCACCAACCAAACATAAATCAACAAATCAATAAATGACAATATTATTATCATTCATAATAATAAGAAAGCATCAAAAAAATGTCTTACATAATCAAATGGAAGTATCGCAAGAGATAAAAATGCAAATTAATAGAAAACAAAAACAGTTAGTTTCTAAAAATGATAATAATTGAGCTCGAGCTATCATCAGCATCGAGACGTCCCAGTCATTCAGGCAGTCGACGGTTTATAAAGAGAAGATTCGTCATAATTCTCGTATCAATAAAATCTTTTGATTAAAAACTTTGAAGTATGGCTTGAAATATAGTGCCTTTTGTTTCATAGTGAAGCACGTCATCTGATGAGTGAAGTTAGATTTTAATTGCCACCAGCTGATGAAATACTAAAACAAGTTATATAATCCTGGCTTTCCATATGTTTTTTCCGAACTAATAGTTTAGGTTATTAAAATATGACCTTGGCAAACCAGATTGTGTTTATTACTGCTTCCCTATCTTCTTACATTCTTAGTCTGAGAAATTTTACGAAAACAGGGTCAGAAAAAACAAATACTCACGACGCCGTAACGCCTTTTCTGAGACAAGGGAGGAGCTGCGGGTCGAGAAAATTCAACAGCATTGTTCAAAACAAAAATATCTAGACATATTTTTGCTGATATTTCACTCATTTTATTTCTTGAAAGTAAATGAATAATTCAAACTTTTTTTTTTACTATTGTTTCCTGGAAGGAAGGGTGATCTTCTCAACAGCCAGTCAAGTAAACTAATCACCTCTTATTCTTCAGTTGAAATTTCTAGCACAACATTTTCAGCTGTTGAACAAAGCAATGTTATATTTTGAAACCATGGCAACTGCTATAGTTAAACCGCCACAAAACCGCACTTCATGATGGTTGACTGTCAGTGTCCCAATGCCTCAGCGTCAAAAAGACATTTATAAAAAAGTCCATTTCCAATTAAGCCATTGAGCAGGAAACTTGATATAATCAAACTCCTCTTTATTTTGCAGTAACGTTTGGAAGGAACATGTCGGTAAGTCTTTTCTACCCTTTACTATAGCATTGTTCTCCGTAACCGTCTATCATTACATCTCTAAATTGGTACTTAATTTCACGCGTATGCTTTTGGCAAGACAGTATTTCGCGGCGTTTTACTTTAATTTGTGATTTCATTCGGGCAAATATCATAAATAGGGCATTAAATTTCGCGATTCAGGCATTATAAAAAAAAGTCGGAACTCTGTTGGAACCTTTTTTAAAAGGAGATTCTCATCTCCATATGTAAAAGCTTTGTTTCCCAGCAGAAAACAAAACAATGGAACTTATCAGTAAAAACCATTCAATAGTTTTAAATTTGTATTCATCGATACATATCCTCTATGTGTAGTTATTGTTGTTGTTGTTAAATTTCGCGTTTTTGTATATTTATATTTTGCGAGGATTAGTATTTTAATCGCGAAATTATTGATCCGCAAAATTAAGTAGCAATGAGGTCTACCATATAAAAAAAATAAGTAAGAGGAAAAGAAATGAAACCATCAACCCTAAAATAAATTTCGTTGAAATGTTTAATAGAACCGAAGAGATGATAAATAGCTTTTAGTCTCGATATCTCCAGCGCAAAGCAAAAGGAACTCGGACTTCGTTCAAACATATGTTGAACTAGTGAGCAAGTTAAGTTTGACTTTGAATAAGCGCTTTTAGGTTTTTTTCAGTGTTCAAAACGTACTACCCTCTTATTTTCAGATGAGACACTTGGTTTAACGGTGCACCGGAAGTGTTTTAATAACTTTTATCCTATCTCGTTTTCAGTCTCCTATGTCGTAGTCTGCGCCGCAGACGAAACTAATCTCAGGTTAAGTCCGTCTGCGAAACAGTGAAGGTATTCTTTTTCCGGGCTCCCACCTGTGTACCGGGATTTGAGTACGCGTCATGATTGGCGGTTAAAAAAAGCCATTGTTGATTTGCCAATAAGGATGAAAGGAAATTCGAAATGCACTTCAGGATTAAATTAAGTCCGTTAGGGTCTTAGCGATACTTCGCAGATGTTACTAAGGCGAGGATAAATTGGGTTTGCGACGCAAGCTCAGCTTACGTGGTGACCATTTGAATAAAATTCTTTCGACATTACGTTAACATTCCACATTCGCTGACGATGAAGAAAATTGTAGAATGCCGGCGGAAAACAACAGCTGAAGAGGAAAAACAGAATGAGACTTAAACTTAAGCTGTACATTTTATCAGAGCTATTTTGTCTTCTGTTCATTTAAACCGGCCACTTTACTCAAATATTTTTTCATTTTCATTTGTACATTCAGAACAAAAAAGCTAACAGTAGTTGTAATTCCTGGATTACCTCATATCCTTGCCTTTATTATAATTAAAAATTATTAGTGTTTGCTGATTTAGCAACAGAATCAGAAAGTCAGTTGACGACGGGAAGGCGTGCGAAAAAGACAAAAAGCGACTTCCGGTGACTGATTAGCCGCTCTTCCATTGGTCCATGTTGGTCAAGCCACTGAGTTGTCTGATTTGCACGCGCCGTAGTCCACTGACGTTCCCAACCTGTTTCTATACCAGCCACTACAAATAGGATTCTCCATTTCTTAGTGTTAAGGAAAAAATGCTGTTTCCCGCTATAAATTTCAGAATACCAAGATCATTTTCGTCATTTTGCTGATTGTCACTGGACTGTGCGGAACTTGCAAATTCGCGGTCGATGCGCGAACAGATGAATGCCGCCGTTGCTGTTTTTCTGGTTGGCGACAGTGTATGTCAATGTGTGCACCAAAAATTATGTGTGAAGTCTGCACTGCAGATCATGAAGATTGTGTAATATCCTGCCAGGACGACCCATACTCATGTCAATTTTAAACGTTTAACCCAGATGTTAAAAAGAGGGCAGTTACAACCTTGGAATTTGATGATCTAACTACAACAGAACTAAAATACAAGGAAGGAGTGTCATTATGATGTTCTTGAGCCATGTATTCTGGCGTTCACAAGCGTGTTTTTGTTTGCTCAAAACCGGACAGCTCGCATTAAACCAGTGTCGTTTTAGGTAGAATGACTCGTTTCTTGTTGATGTATTTAACCGATCCATTCCATGTTGCCATGCCTCTATTTAGTATAATAGATCACAGATAACGTCAAAATACACTGTATGTGGTAAATAGAAAAAAAGTGTCACACGAGGCGCCGGCGAGTGTGTCACTGTTGTTGGTCTTGTTTAATTATGAGAAGCGACTGTAAACATGATCGAGTGTACTTACCATTACACAAACCACCCGGGTGGAAATCCTCTGAATACAGAAAAAACTACAATTTGACATGGTGGGAGAACGACCCGCTACAAAGTACAGTCATCTCTCTCTCGACGGACACCTCTTTAAGACGGACACTTCTCTAAGACGGACACCTGGTGTTGGTCCCTGCTTCTTTTCAGTCATTTTGCTATAAATATAATCCCTATGAGACGAACATCTCTCTAAGAAGGACGGGCAACGAACACTTTAGAAACCGCCAACGAACACCTGAGAACTGCTTTAGGTAGTGAAAAATACCTCAAAAGGGAAATGTAGGTGCTCTACATGACAGTAATTTGCCATGTCTTTAATGTCTTGTTTTCTTTTTTTACTGGTGTCACGTTACCTCGATTCTCTATAAGCAGGACCCATGCGTGTCTCACCGGCCACCAACCCCTTGGACCGTTGCGAGCAAGGATGTTTGTATGCATTTCACTGAGGAGGCTACTCAATCAAACTACAGTCGACTCCCGATAACCCGAACCCTCGCTAACTAGATCCTCGCGCCAACTCGAACCAAAATCGATTTCCCCGGATTTCTTTGATAATTTTACTTCACTTCCTGTAATGCAAACGGTAAATCTAGTGACCATAATCGATACTATAAAATAACAATCGGTTAACCAGGACATTGAGTAATTTCAACTTTCAGTGAACAAAAACCTTGTACCAGAATAATTTAAACAATATCGCATTCTTTTTTACACTTTGTAAGGGCGATAGAGTGTTTTCACATGACGTCACGGTGGCCATATTGGTGTCCCAAAACAATGAAACTTCGGCCATGTTGGTATCCCAAACCAATCCTCTGGTAGTTAACTCTTTTCTTATGCAAACGCTTTCTTTTGTTCCAATCGGATGCTGGCCACGAAAACACTCTATACATATAAGTAATTATCTGTAAGAACACCAAAGACTATTTCTCATGGGAGCAGAGTGCCATGCGTTTTTAGCGAAAAATACGAGCTCCCTTAAAAACCCCTGCGTGGGAGGCTAAGTGCCATGTGCTTGTTCGAATAAACAATGAAGAGGTTGCATCTTACACGTGAAAATCACTGGACATAGGATAAAGCTCAACAAGAGTTGTTGATTAACTACAATTTATTTTCGGTGATCAATATATTTTGATAACTTCAGTGTCTTATTTAGATCGACCCAAATTAGAGTTTTGTTCGTCTCACATGAAAAGTCTGACGTTTGGCCTAGCCCTTAATGTTTCATACATCCTCTCCTCAATACATACATTTCATTTCAAATACTATTTCCCTGAGAGAGGATAATTGAAATACTCATTATTGTTTTATATATACCGAGTCTTTTAGAAAGTGCCTGGTAGTTGTCAATTCTTTTCAATTCCATGTTTCAAGGCTAACCAGCTTCCATACAAAATATAAGTAAGACTAGAGAAAATATGTGCCTACAGTTCACTTAACCTTTTGCAACAGAAAGATAAACTTTTTCATCAATTTTGTTTTCGAAAACAAAGAAACTCAAACTTTGGTCTTACCACCATACTGAAAGGATTTTTATCTCCAGGCTCTGGCGAGGACATTTGACAAGCACTCCAAAACTTAGAGCAATAATTTAAAACTAATCGAGTACTTCGTTGGAATCGCTCTTAATTCAACACCAATATACTGTAAATGAGGTTTGGTTAGTAACGGAAAGGTTTGTGGGTGAGAAATTAAAACAAACAAACTCATACTTTGGTCTTATTTACCATACTGAAAGGATTTTCATCTCTTGGCTCTGGCGAAGACATTTAACTCGCAAATTCTCCAAACCTCAGAGCAACAATTTCAAAATAATCGAATATTTTGTTGGTTCCGTCACGGATCAGAACCTCCCCGCAATTTACAAATCCTTGGCTTGGGAACACGTAACAACTCTTTATTTGCGTAAACAATTTGCTCTGAGTTTTGGAACCTTTATGTAAAATACACAGATACTTTTAATTTTGAACGATGGGTCATACTTACTGACTTTAAGCAACCAGGCCGGGTTATTTGTAAACGGAGTTTATTGGTGATCGGACGTTCAAAAATGTCCACAAAGTCTGTAACTGGAGCAGTCAGTTAGAAAAGCGTTTTTCGGTCAGCAGCTCTTGACTCAATCAATCCTCTTTTTTCGTATTTAAGCTAATGACGAATTCTTCGTTCTGCATTTGTCGTATTTAGTTGATTCGCACTAGGTTGCATTCTCAAGAAAACTGACCCCTGTTCAGCCTTTTCACAAACTTTCTTAGTCTTCTTTGGAACTTGTGCATTTTAAGGTTGTTGACCTTTGCAAACGCTCTACGAAGTGATGACGACGATATTGATGCTGCGCGGTTTAGAGAACAGCTTCCTGGACAATTACCAATACAAGTCTCTTTCTCTTCAGTACAATCAGAACATTGCACCATATCCTCACAGATAGTTAAACATTGACTCCATTCACCTTGGCAACAGCTTGCACAATCTCCATGAACCGGTGCGGAGATGGAAAAGGATACGAAGGCGATAAACGCCAACACTATTGTCAACACACTCGACATCTGGGAAGAAATAAAACAAATTATTATATGGAGGAGAGTGTTTTACTGGGAACTAAACCACTCGTAGATTCCATACGCCACTTCATCCGGGACCCGAGTGGCGTATTTTCCGTATGTCACCTTTGTGAGTGTCGTATCGTTCAATGACGTCACGATTCCCGCCTTTTGCTTTTGTTGAATTGGTTTCTCCATATAATAAAAAGAACATTACACGTTGGCTCGAAGATATGAATTTTATGTTCTCGTGGCAAGAACAATATCTCACTCGTTCGCTTCGCTCACTCGTGAGATATTGTTCTTGCCACTCGAACATAAAATTCATATCTTCGAGCCACCGTGTAATATCCTCTATTTATTTAGAAGCTATACTATGCCGATCTAGCAAAGTACGCCTGTTCTCATGTAACAATGATGTAACAAGAAAACAAGACCCACTTAGTATTAGCCTGTCACTTCAGATAGACTGGGCAAAATGGAGAGTGGAGAAAAGGGAAGGCCGCCTCCGCTATCTGAACACCAGGGGTCAATTAAGCAAGGGTTATTTACGAGTGTTCCCATTGATTTAGTGTCTAACAAGAAGTTAAACTTGTTAATTACACTTGTAATAGTTTAACTCAATTCACCCCGGGACAGGTTAAATCGCGAAGTGCGAGTGAGTGGAGTAGGCCTGGAACCGAACGAAAGGTCCCAGATCGGCGAGAAAGAGACCCAGAAAAATTGTTCGATGATTATTTACGAGCATTTGTGAACCAGTTTAGAAACCCAGCCGCTATAGCCGTGCAAACAATGAGGGAGTCCAGGCCATACCCTTTCTTTGCGCACAATTACGCCACGCATATAGTCGTTCTGGAAAAAACTGGGAAGCATCGATCATGGAAGCTAATGCAATGATCCCTGGATTTTTCATAAATCGCCCCTTTTCCTCTCACGCGTAATAGGGACAATGAATAAATAAATAAATAAATAAATAAATAAAATCTCTTTAAGAGAAACATGACGAAGCAAATAATAAATTGCAATTGGTCTGCCGGAGAAGTTTCATTTGAATGGCCACACCTTAAGATTTCGTCCAAAAGTTTAAGTGACATATATTCTTGCTGTGACATCTAGAAGTGAAATAGCAATTCAGCCATCTGTACACACGCGGATTAATTTTATACCAGCAAAACTGGATCATGTTGAAATTCATGCTATATCTCGTTATTTTGAAGTCAATTAATAAACACATTAAAATGTTTGATACTCAACTCAAACTTATCGATTACCAGCGACGCTCGGAAACACTGTAAAAATAAAGCTGGGCGAAAAAACGAACAGTTCAATGACTTGTAACCCCTGAATTAAAATGTAGATGTGCAAATGGTGAATTACAATATTCTGTACTGTTTGCTTTGAGGCAGTCGGACGTGGACTTGATAACATTTCAAACAATCTGATTGAAATGTGCAGACGTCTCAGGAATTAGACCTCCGTTTAATTTCAACCCGGCTAAAAATAACTTTATTGAACTTCATATGTCTCGGCCAACGCTCTGAGATTCCTTCTCAGTCCCATCATTCTATTGGTCCAAAGAAATTGGAGGTTTCAAAGAGGTACAAGGCGACTGAAATGTTTCAGAAGGCCTGCAGTTATAATTGATCACCATTATCTCCCAGAAACAAATCTCATATTCTTGCATTTCATTAAAACAAACATTTAGAGATTATCTGGATGTTTGTTAGTTAGCCTTGAAAGGTTGAGCTGACACCCAAGAATACCAAGGAGATTTAACCTGTGTCGCAGACGTAATTTACCCCCCCCCCCCCCCGGAGGGGGATCCCATATGAAAGTGGTGGGGATGCTCGTTGGAAATTTTGAATTAAACCCCTAAAGGAGACCTATCTGGGCGTGGCGCAACCTTTTTTTTTTTTGACCCCTAAAAGAGATCATTTTAAACTTTGGTTACATGAACCGAGTAAATAAAACGAATTTAAAAAATATATATATATATATATATATTTATACTTCTTCGCGTGCAACCCTAAAAGAGACCTTTACGGCTAAATATGTTGTCGTTATGCCCAGAACACCCTATAAAGTGAGATCAAAATCCGAACTTGGGAGACGACGAACATCCCCGCTCCTTTCATATGGGAGTCCCCTCCCCGGGACTTAAACCCGGTGAGTAACGTCTGCGAAGCAGCACCGAGATCCTGGTTCTGTGCCCCCAACGGATTCAACGAATTACCGGAAGAGGGTTGCGAATTTCCTTTCATTTTGACTGGCAAATCGACAGTGGCTTTTCTAACAGGCCATCATGGCGCGAACTCAAATCTTGGTACACAGGTGAGGGCCCAGAACAATGATTTCAGCGCTGTTTCGCAGATGGACTTGACCAGAGTTTTGTTTCATCTGCGACGCAGGCTAAGTAGATTAAGAAGTTATTGGATTTGGCTTGTGCTAATTATCTTAGTAAAGAATTATGCAGATCGAAGAGGATGGCGTAAGCAGAAGAGGATAGCACCCCCAGAGATCTGTACAATTACTCAGATCTTACGATAGCCAAATCCAATATTTCTTTTATTATTCACTCAAGATACATTCATGTTGCTTACCTCGATCGATGTTAAGTTCCTTTAGTCCGAATTGTTCCGGGTACAAAATGATGTTTGGTCTATCCAAAATAGCAGTTGTCATTTGCATTAAACTATATTGCTGTCTTGACACATTTTAAGGCAATAGTTCGGCTATTTCTCTTCGCAAATGTTTGAAATTTCCCACCATTTTCTCCAGTTCTACCAAAAACAGCCGAGCGAACGCAACTTCGGCCCAGGGCTTGTCCGTTGCCGTTCCTTTTCTTGGTGATACCCCGTACTTTTGACGTCATTACACCGGATAACACAGACGCCTGTCAAATTTGGTTAACGCAACAATCCTGGCTAAAAGGTTTTGGGACACTTCCCTTTCTTCTCCTCTTTTTGGTAGGGAATTTGCGAGTAACCGACAATCCACAGTTATAAAATACAGAAAGATTGAATAACGGCAAGTCCACACCGACAAACTGTTGGGTGGTGCCAGATCTCACAGCTGTAGACCTGGATCAGTACAATATCAACTTGTATAAAATAAAAAACGGCAAACTGATCCTTACGAAAAGGCGATGAACAAGCAACCAAATGAATAAAACAAAAATTATATTTATAAATAAATTTCCCCATCTATCCGAGTTAAACCACCATCAATTCAGCGATCCTATTCCTGTCCCGCTGCATCTCAATCAACCTGGACATTCAATCAACGACGTTCGCCTCATTCCACTTGAACTCATACGAAACAACCGTGACGTAGTGAGAAAGGCTAGCTATTGGGAGGCTCATTTTAATCAATGCAGAGGGAAAACACGCTCTCCTCTAGGAATAAGACGTCATGAAGCTCGTTGGTAGACTACTACTAATTAGTCACACGCACCAATCACAATCTATTGATTTCATTTTTATATTTCCAAACCCTTATTTGTAAAGACCTTTTGGTTTTATTTTCATTTTTTTTAGCCCCTGAAGAAGGCTTTACTTTCATATCGAAATAATGGGCAAATTTTTTTAAATATATTTTTTGAATTATTCTTTTGTTTACTTGTTCATCATCCTTGCCGTAAGGATCAGTTTGCTCTTTTATATTTACAAAAATACGGCTTTGCCTAGGCCCTTTGCCTATAGTTGAAGTCCCCACACTTTGCAAGATTTTTTAAGAAGTGTTTGACCTCAAACACCCAGCACTGTCCGAGAGGGGAGAGATTATTTGAAAAAGCAAAGATCATAGCGGAGCTCTCGCGGGCGCGCAGTGGAGCACCATGGGTAAGAAAATTTGGTTGTCTATGCATCCAAGAAATTTTGGTTCTGAGAAAATCGTCGGTGCGTACGTCCACCCCTTCATGCAAAATTTTTGCATTTGAAGTTCCCGCGAGTTTCGGCGCATAGCCACCCGGACAACAACAAAGCCGATTCGGCTTCCTTTCGACTTAATTTCAATGTCTACATTGACGTGGATAACAGGCGGAAAGAGCTAGAGCGAGAGATAAAAAACAAAGGAGACCAATTTCGTTGGAACAATAACATGAAAATTTTATAGTGGCGGTGAGAAAATGAGAAATGCTAGCGGCCTCCAAGGTGAAAATGAGTAAATATGTAACTAGGGGGTTTCTGGAAGTTTCACGTTGTAGTCGTTCAAAACAACGGCAAAGAAATGTACAAAAACGTGTGCCGTGCAAAGTTGACTTTTTGTTTGGGAATTGTATCGCAGACATTAAGGAGAAATGTTCAGTTTCTTCAAGAGTTTTTCTAATAGAAAAGTGAAAAGTATATCAGAAATTAAATTGGAGTGGAATAGTTCTGTGTACTTCGCTGACGATGAAGAAAATTGTAGAATGCCGGCGGCAAAACAACAGCGGAAGATGAAAAACAGAATGAGACTTAAGCTTAAGCTGTACACTTTATCAGGGCTATTTTGTCTCTTCTTCATTTAAACCGGCCGCTTTACTCAAATATTCTTTCATTTTCACTTGTACATTCAGAACAAACAAAAGTTAACAGTAGTTGTAATTCCTGGATTACAATTATAATTATAACCTTAACAAACGTTTTTACTAATACACTTCGTTTTCTTTACCATTTCGCGGTGTGTAGCGGCAAATTTTAGCATTTTAACATTATTATTATCATTATTGCTATTATTATCATTAATTAATACTAATACTAATAGTAATGATAATAATAATAATAATGATAATAATAATAATAATAATAATAATAATAATAATAATAATAATTATTATTATTATTATTTTTTCAAATATTAGGCTGATTTAGCAACGGAGCGGGAACATCAGTTGACGACGGGAAGGCACGCGAAGAAGACAAAACGCGACTAAACGTTTTTACTAATACACTTCG